CCTGTGTCTTGTTTTGGGTGCGTGTGCGTGTCTTGGGTTGTGTTGATTTGAGTGAGAGGGGTTGGAGACAAACGAGGGTCTGCTTTGTCCAATTTCTTTTTCCAATGGTTCATTTCTGGGGTTTTTTGTATCTTGTTTGCTTATAGTTGAATGTAGCATAATGTTTGAAATGTCAATCTTACTACTTTTATTATTGCTGTATATAAAATGCGATGCCAGAGCTCTGTACACAGCACTGAGGGATTTTATCATCTTTTGTACATCACCTATATAAACTGAGCAGGGGGCAGGGGCCAGACAGGAGCATCTAAAAGGACTGCATCAAGCCCACGGGCCGGGGTTTGGCCCACCACCGTTTTAAAGGAGAACCTGTAGAAGCGCAGAGAGGTGACTGAGCTCTGATGTTTGCACTGCAGGGCTGGCAGTTGCTAGGCACCCGCAGTGTGTTTGTTTTATTTTTAGCAAACCGTGCGGCTAGCGAGCAGAGCAGAAATCTCTTCTCCCGCACTTTCCCTTTCAAAACATTACCCCCACTTTCTCGGCCAAACCCCTCCCTCCCTCTCCCTCTCTCTCCCTCTCTCTCTCCTCCCTCTTTCTACCTGTCTTAAAAACAGCCTCTTGAGCGGAGCTACGACCAGCATCAAAAATGTGAATGGCTCGGCCCCACCCCGAGCTGAAACCGGAGTTGGAGGATTTATTTATAGACGGTCTTTTCTCGTGTGCAGACGGTGACGGTGCAGCCGGGCTCTCCTTCCCGGGACGTGCCAGCCTTTTTTGGGCACATGCCTGTCCTCCAGCTCCAGCACACGGCAGCCCAGAGAGGAAGAGGGTGAGAGAGAGGAGGAGAGAGGGAGGGGGGGAGACTATTGTGAGGAGAGGGCTGCCACGACCAGGGCTGCAATGAGCTGTTTTTCTAGAAGTTGGCAAGACAAATACTTTGAATGGAATGTAGAGGCAAATGATTGTTTGTTGTTAGTGATATATTGCCGCTGATGGTGTCTAGACGGGGAAGGTTTAGATAAGTAGAAAACCTTTATTTGACTCACAACCTTTCAGTGTTGTAGCGTACAGTACACGGACAGTAAGAAAAATAGTTGCAGAATATTTAGAATATCAACTCAAATTGTTATGCTTAAAACGGCTTTAAGCGAGACTGTCTTGTAATGAGTTTGGATATCACATTATTTTTGGTTTTTAGCATTGTGTTTCAAAGCAGTTTTTTTTTTTAGACATATGTATACGCTTGTCTGTGTTTATTTCCTAATCTTGGATTCACAGCCTCCACTCAGCCAACAACATATTTAGTTAGACTTTATCTTGGAATGACTAATTTCAGAGCTCTGACTCGGCAGAATTCACTTGTTGTTCATGTGATCTCTGAAACTCTGAGGTTAACTGCTCATGAAAGCTACTCAAGTCGGAAATTCAACAGGGAAACTTGTGCTGGGGCGGTGGTCCCAGAGTTCCCGGGTTTGCGTCACTGGCACGTGTCGTATTGTGATTGGATGAAAGAATGGCAATAAACAGTGAGGGGATGTGTTTTATGTTACGCTGATGGTTTTACTTTGCTAAAAAAAACTATTTAAGTGAAGAGATTCCTAGTACAGTTCTGTATTTTTGGTGTGTGTTTGTCTGTCTCTGTGTGTGTGCGTGTGTCACCTGCGTCACCAGCCTCCCCATGAACCCTTCTGATTTAGAGAAGTCTTAAGATCACATGGATTTCTCAGTTTCCGAGATCTCATGAAAGCAGCAATAATCCATCCATCAGTTATTGATTGTTCAAGGTCTGTTACAGATTTTTACTAACCCTAGCACAAAACATTGATTATGAATACATCATTCAAACTGTCATCCAGCCAACTTCAGCACTGCTAAGATACTGGTCATATATCATTTTAAATCTTAGTGCCAAGAATTCAGTTAGTAAGAAGATATGCTGTCATCAAAATCTGTCGCTGTTCCAAACAAATACAAAATTGGCTTTCTGTGTTATTTCGGTGTTATTTCAGGGTTTAATCTATCATTTAATGCCACAATCTCCAACTCAAATGCTCTTTTTCAGAAATATAAAAGCGGTCATATTTATGGATATTTTGACTCCCTAAAAATATGAATATTGATCCTGGCGAATCCTTTCAAAGCTACTGTTTGCCGTCGGCTCGTGAACGCCTCGCCTGTACTCTGGCTCAGTATCGACCTCGGCCTCGGCCCTGACCTCCACCAGGAGCTGCTGCTGCTGCGGATCCTGACATTTAGTCCGCGATTGATCAGTTTGTTGGAAAATACAGAGCGCTCACAATCACGGACTTTGACGAGCGCCGCGCTGACTCAGGTCTCTTCACTTTACAGGAATATGTAGTAATGGAAACATATCTCTCCAGGTTAAAAGGGAAAAGACGCTTGAGTGTGTGTGTGTGTGTGTGTGTGGAGAATGTATTCAGCTTTTGACCAATAATCAACCGTGACTTTAGTATATTAGTTTGTTCCTACTACTTTAGCTGTTGTGAAAAGTCTTTTTCATTTGATAACGATTGCAACTAAAGGATTAATACCGTTTAGCTTGTCCTTGTTGTGATAGGAATAAAAGTACAGTATAAGAAAATATTAAAAACAATGGTCCCATACAATAATACGGATCACCTTTCGCTGCCTCGCTGTTTGGCAAATTCTTTTAAGTGCTATTTTTGCATGATTTTTTTATATTGTGCTGCTTCTCATGCACCGTGTGGATACTCTCAACATCATATATCCACAAGTATAATGACAGTTACTTTGATTTAAAGTGAGAAGAAAAAGTTGTCAGCTCAAATTCAGGTTAGAAAGGTGTATAAAGTGTAGTGAGAGGATTTGCAGCATTAAAACACACAGCTGCTACTTCAAGGATTTAATTGCGGGTTATTTTTAGAGCGTAAGCCACCAAAAAATTTACACTATTTCAAACAACAAATATTGTACATCACAAGTTGATGATATATTTAAAAAAAAAAAACCTCATTCTACTCATCTATCAAAAGAACAATTGCCCAACTAATCGATTATCGCCCTATTGGATGGCACCAATGGAGAGATGGTTCAGTTGAAATTTTGATTATTTCATACACACATAAACTATAATATTTAAGAGACATGGAGTTCCCTTTTATTTATTTTTCAGTTACGACACATTTGCATCCGTTGTATACTTATGGTTGTAATATCAGTTCAGTTTTTCAGTCAAATGTTTAAGGAATCTGACGGTGAATTATCACAATGGGTTTCCAGATTGTGTGAAGAAAATTGTGCAATAGACTTTTGTATTTTTTATGGATGAAATAAGTTTGTGTGTAGCCCCAAAATCAAACGTGTATCTTCTCCCCATGTAGTGAAGTTGCCACATTGATACTAGTGACATTTTCTTACATTATTATCTTGCCCTTGTCTTTGCCCTGAATCTGATGTGATTCAGGGCAAAGTATTGAATATTCTGTCATTGAAATGAGCCATGGCATTTTCTGGAGCTAAATTATATTTCTGAACCAGTTTTGCATTTCTGAAAAAAGGGCATTTGAGTTGGAGATGGTTTATGGCATTATAAGTTACCACCTTATGATCCAATTGAAATATATTTGATTATAATAATTCAGACAGCAGAGGCCTGACCATAGACTGTAAATAGATGGACAATGCTAACCCGCTAGCTCAATGAAGCCACATCGTTCTTTTAAATCCAGAAATGAGGCGTAACTATTGACCAATCAGAGGACTGAATGTCTTTACTTGATATATTTGATTATAATAATTCAGACAGCAGAGGCCTGACCATAGACTGTAAATAGATGGACAATGCTAACCCGCTAGCTCAATGAAGCCACATCGTTCTTTTAAATCCAGAAATGAGGCGTAACTATTGACCAATCAGAGGACTGAATGTCTTTACTTGATATTTTTTGTCAAATTTTTCACCTTAACTGCATTAAAACGGTCTCAAATCGGATCAGAGCCGAAGCTTCCCTGTAATTACTCCGTGTCAGCATCTTGAACAAATGCATTGTTACCGACTGACGCCTGGAGCCAAAGGTCCTTGTAACGACATGCATCATTTATGATGGACTGGGTCAGGTGCTCTTGTTTTTTTCGACTTAAAGCGAGTTGCGCTGAAACATTAGACGCTCCTCTCCCTCTCTCTGGTTTCTGTCTTTTGAGACTCGAATTACGCAGATGCAGAAACCCGTCTTTGTTACGTTTTTTGCTGACAAAATGCGCAACAAGGGGTCAAGCGCCGCAGCAGAAGCAGAAATGAAATCATTGTCTGCATTTTGTACGTTTCCCACAGGCTCCTCTTGCACAACACACGACTGAGACTAGAGTAAGGGAGCCCTGGAGGGACAGAAAGGGCAGCGGTGTGAACTTGAGAAAGCGGGAATGGCATGATTGGCTTTAGCATTAGATGTAACTGAGCTACAAGGAGGTTCCCTGTTTTAATCTCTTTAATTACAGCTTAAGGGTGAAGTTAATGGTGAACTTGTCAGCGTCCAAACTCTCCTTTTTAAAGCCTGAGAAGAGAAACAGAACTTTGAACAGAATTATTTTTATTCCCATTGTAAGTTACAGGAAGTCACTCACTAGGAATTTGCTTTGGCTCATGATGCAAACAAGTTATAAAAGTAAATAAGGCATGCATAAATAATCTTCATAACATTTCTTAAATTATTACAAGTTGCTGTGTGTGAGAGTGGGGGGTCATCATATGCTGCTGAACTTTCCTATTGTTGTAATTTAATTTTATGTTGTGTTTTTTTTATTTTTTTGATGCAACCAGGCATTGCAGATGGACATCAGCTGTGTAGCTATAATCTGGGGCAGTACAGATCTTGTGCACTAACTACACACAATAGTGAAATGAGAATAATTATGAATGTGAATAATTGTGAATAATAATAGCGTTGCCAGTGTAATATGTGATCTTTACTGTTGTGACTGAGAGCTTGTCTGTGACGCTCCCTGGTCCTGTGTGTGCGCAGGTGTAGGCAGCGATGGGGGCATTCCTGGACAAACCCAAGACGGAGAAGCACAGTGCCCACGGAGACGGGAACGGTCTGCGGTACGGGCTGAGCTCCATGCAGGGCTGGCGGGTGGAGATGGAGGACGCGCACACGGCGGTGGTGGGGCTGCCTCACGGACTGGCCGACTGGTCCTTCTTTGCCGTGTACGACGGTCACGCCGGTTCCCGAGTCGCCAACTACTGCTCCGGCCACCTCCTGGAGCACATCCTCTCGGGGGGCGCGGACTTCGGCTCCAGCCCCTGCTCCGTGGAGGGCGTGAAGGACGGGATCCGCTCCGGCTTCCTCAACATAGACGAGTACATGCGCAGCTTCTCTGACCTGCGGCAGGGTCTGGACCGCAGCGGCTCCACAGCGGTGTGCGTGCTGCTCAGCCCCTCCCACCTCTACTTCATTAACTGTGGCGACTCGCGGGCCGTGCTGTGCCGCGACAGCAGTGTGGGCTTCTCCACGCAGGACCACAAACCCAACCTGCCGCGGGAGAAGGAGCGCATCCAGAAGGCGGGCGGTTCCGTCATGATCCAGCGGGTCAACGGCTCGCTGGCCGTGTCCCGTGCGCTCGGGGACTACGACTACAAATGTGTGGACGGTAAGGGCCCCACGGAGCAGCTGGTGAGCCCCGAGCCCGAAGTGTGCGTGCTGGAGCGTGCTGGCGATGGCGACGAGTTCATCGTTTTAGCCTGCGACGGGATCTGGGACGTGATGAGCAACGAGGACGTGTGCGAGTTTGTGCGCTCCAGACTGCAGGTGTGCGAGGACCTGGAGAAGATCTGCAACGCCGTGGTGGACACCTGCCTGCACAAGGTGAGGGAGGGGGAGGGAGGAGGAATGGAGACTGTGAGAGGGAGAGACTGTGAGAGAGGCTGAAAGGCTGAGAGAGAGAGGCTGAGAGAGAGAGGCTGGCAGAGAGAGCCTGGCCAAGAGAGAGAGAGACAGACATAAACATGTGTGAGGAAGAGTACAGTTGTCCCTTGCTATATCGCGGTTCACCTTTTGCGGTCTCGCTGTTTCGCAGATTTTTTATTTGCGCAATTGAGCTTGTTTTGCTGTGTCCTTCTCATGTGCCGTGTGTACTCCAACAACATTACATAAGCGCTAGTATAACATGACAGTCACTTTTATTTTCTGTCTCGTCTGCACCGTCGAAATTGGTCTCACTCTCTGGTCTCTCTCTCTGTTCTCGCTCTATGGTCTCTCTCTGGTCTTTTTCTATGGTCTCGCTGTCTATGGTCTCTCTCTCTCTCGCTCTGGATTCTAATGTTCCGTCATATTAATTTGTGCTGCTTCACTGTCCTGTGTTTTTCAGGGGAGTCGGGACAACATGAGCGTGGTGCTGGTGTGTTTGCCCGGAGCTCCAAAAGTGTCAGAAGAGGCGCTGAAGAAGGAGGAGGAGCTGGACAAGTACCTGGAGACACGTGTACAGGGTCAGTAAACATGCATGATAACAACAGGAGAGACATGCGACAGTGGACCCCCTCGAGACCTTCTCCACCGACTCCCACTGACACCTGCTGCCGTTGTGTAACTGGGCAAGACGCTTAACCCCACTTTTCTTGAAGACACTGAGAGACTGAGAGAAAGGGAGAGAGATGGGATCATCACTTGCAGGAGGATCCGTGAGGGGCTAGCCTGGCCTTAGCCATCCCTACACTCCGCTCACTCATCATTTCCCTGCATGTAACGTCTGGGTCTGGTCCCTGTGTTAGCAATTACATCGGTTGAATTCCATCCGACCAGTCAGGGAGCGTGGGAGGCGGGTGTTGTAGTTAGTTGTGGGTGACGTCAAGAGTTTGCGCCGAACAAGCAGGTTGTAGTTTGGGAATCATGAACAATGCGATAGTAAAGTAGTCCGGTCTGGTTCTATCAAGAAATGAAGCCGGAGCAAGGGTAATGTTTGGCAAATGTAATTGCTGCAAAGATTGTGGAGCTACTCCCCACGGGCTCCGTCAGCGACAAAGGAGATGGCTCGGCTAAATGCTAACGACTCACTCGGGAGCATTATTTACGTGACGGTAAACTCTGATCCAATCGTTTCAATCTGCAAAAGGAGTTAACCCCCCCCACCTGTTGGAGCACCTCCAGACCTTAGTACGAAATGTAATTTGTACTATGGTGTGGTACGACCAGGCTAGTGAGGGGCTGGTGCCCCGCTGAATTTCTCTGTACATGAAGTAAAAACATTCATAATCAAAGTTATAGAGTCCTCAGTCTGTTTTATGAACCTATAGATGACATTTATGGTCACAGCATTCAGTTTGTACTGTCTGGCATAATAACAGTTCAAGTTCAGATTCAGATTAATTTTTGATTTGCCATTTGCACTAAAGTCATCCATCCATGTGTGAAGAGGGATAACGATTACAAATACACATTGTCAGGACCCGCCCCTGATTCGATCTTTATGACTTTATATTCTGCTGAACTGTGTTGGAAAAGTAAATATTAACTGTTGACCTTTGAGCTTCAGACGTTGAAAGATCTGTGTCCACCTGTGTCACACTAAAGCGGATATTGACCCGGCACGGAGGTCAGTTTGGGTGAGGGTTTTGACCTGACGGCTCTGGGTTTGTTTTGTCAAATGATTTATCGGAGCATCGGCTGAATTCGGCAGTCTCTCTCTCTCACGGATCTGACTGCGTTCGGACAAAATAAACATTCTTTAGATCGTGCAAATATTTGAAATCCCTGTGTTACAAATCACGGCTGCAGCTTTGTCTGATATCCTGCACAGAGAGAGCGTCTGAACCTGTCGCAAGTTGCCGTTGGGTAAAAGTTTTATATTAATGCTGGTGAAGGCTCGCAGGCTGTAGTTTTTGTAATGACTCCCATAGCAAGCATTCAAACCGTTAGCCTAGCAAAGCATTCAGCGTTTGATACTATTCCAAGTAATCGGATTTACAAAAAGTACAATTATGATGGAATAGGAACGTTTTTATTGCACGTTCAAATAGTTTTTCCCACTCAAAGCTGTTTTAGAGGGATTTCTAAATGTTTGAGTGATTGAGTAATTTGCAGATTTGTTTCCATTGGCACCGACACACGCCAACTTTTCTTTTCTTTGATCCGGGAGCATTGCTCAGGTACTTTGGCTCGCTGCCGTTATCTGCCGTTACATTTTGCCTCCGTTTCTACATTCAATTTATATTTTTATAGCTCTGAATGACAGTCTCGGGGGACAACGTTGATTCCCCAATAACAGATCAGAGAATCAAACGGTTTGAACGCAGGAAATGCATCGTTGGTCCAGCGCGATCGGGATGAGCAAAGTTAATAAATGAGCCTAACATACCATTGAGGAGGACTGTCACTTTCAGTTTGGAGGTTATTATAAATGATAATAATAATAATAAATTCAGTGTATTTTTTTTTTTTTGGGGTTGCCTTACATCACAAGTAAAAAGTAAATTTTGTTATACTACAGTTAAAAGCAGCATGAACAGAGGATTGTGTGGGTATGATGTTAGGAGGCTTCAAACAGGCTTCAGATGTGCATTATTCCATGAGGGTCACACATTAAAATGGTTCTTGCCGTGTGTGTGTGTGTGTGTGTGTGTGTGTGTGGGTGTGTTTGCAGACCTCCTGGGCAGCTGTGGAGAGAGCGGACTGCCCGACCTGGTGACGGTTCTGAGGAGCATCGCGTCTGAGAACATCCCCAACCTCCCACCGGGCGGAGGTCTGGCCAGCAAGTGAGTACTGCTCCAGCTCTGCACGGGACACACTCACACACACTCACACACACGGTCGCCCCGTGTAGGGTGTGTGACCAGAGAGGTGTGTAGACTGTAGACTTTAGAGGGAGAAAAGATGGCCTGCTCTGCTGCTGCGTGATCAGGAAGGAATGGGAAACTAGTCCGGTTCAAACGCTGTACTCTTAAAACTTCTTATTCCCAGTTACTTAATTTGAGCATATTTTGACTGCCTTATATATTTTCCAATGGGACATGCAAAAGTATCTTGTTTTAAAAATGAAGAAGAAAGAAATGTCTCCCTTGGAATGAGAAAATAAAATAATTGTTCAAATAAGACTAAATAAATGGCTTCGTCCCATTGGCAAATCAGAATGTACTCAAATTAGGGCTGGGCAATAAATCGAATTTAGGCAATTAATCGGCTTTTGAAAAAATTGAATTATTGAAAAATGTGAAAATCGTGAAATCGAATGAAGGACATTGTGAGCATTCCAGCAGCACATGAACTATACTTGCAATATCAGCACAGTCTGTACAAGACTTTTATAATATGTATTGAGGGAAACAAAATAAAAATGGTTTTGAAACTTGATTATTGAGCGGAAAGATCAAAAAATATTTTTAAGGGCAAACTTTGATGAAAATCGATTTAAAATCAATCGTCCAAAGCAGGAAATAAAATTGAGATGTTACTTTTTTGCCATATCGCCCAGCTCTAACTCAAATTAACCAACCACTTGATTTAAGCAATTATTAGCTCATATGTTATTATCTTTTGGAGTGTACTGTCAGACTCATGTTTGTGGTGTTTTTATTTTTGGAAATGACGTCATGAGTAATATTATGGGATCAATCAGGTGCCTTTTGAGCGACTGCGATTAGGTTTGATTTGAAAGGGCAGGCTGGGCCCTATTGGAAACTGGTTAGAGGACTTAAACTCTGCGTTATTCCTCTTGGGGTGGAAAAAAAAATCACTTCTCTGAGTCTGTACTGCAATACACAGTATGGACTCAAAGACGTGATTTTTAATGTTATGTAATATAGGCAGTAAAAAAAACTTGTGAAAATTGAACAAGGAAATGTAATTCATTCAAACTCAAACAGAACAGATTGACCTGTTGTTTCTAATGGAGTAGTTTACCATGTCTGAACAGAATTAGATTTTATTTTTATTTTTTTTAAACCTGCTTTGCAATTCTAATAGAGTTGAAAACATAAACACAGGTCTCCATCAGGAACGCGCTCCAAATTCAACAGTTGAATAGATAAGATTATTCTCTGAGATCCGCTTCGTGATCAAGCCTTTTAATGAAGGGTGAATGCTGGGCTCCAAGACAGACACTCAGAACGGCTACCAGCTTTTTGACGAATGTGCAACCAGCTGAGGGCATTGGGACTCTGTGGGTGATGGTAGCACTGTCTCTGGTCTCTCCCATCAATCTACGAGGCTCAGACAAGTTTACAATAACGTCATTTTTGTTGTGAGATATCTCATTGTGTCTGTGTTGATTCAAATGTACCAACCTAGATTCAAGATTGTATGTGCAATTTTATTAGATTTTACAAACCTATTATTTAAAATGTATCTATCTAATAAAGTCTTCATAAGCCATAACTATTATTCATAGTGTTAATGGTTCAGGCTTTATTCAAATCTAGTCAAAACTTAAATTTCTCAAATCATTATTGCTCCCAGAATGTTTTTTTTCAATCCAATCCACTTTTTTTGGTATACAGCACATTTTATAATTTTAAGTTTCCAAAGTTCTGCACAGAAAAAAGTAGCACATTTAAATATACAGGGCCAGCTTTATATGAAAAAAAATAAAAATAAAGTATAAGTAAAACAGTATGTACCAAGTGAAAACAACAAAATTAATAAACAATAAAATACCAGTGATCCACTTCAAAAAGTAAAACTAAAAACAATCAAATGAATAAAACCGATAAAAGAGAGGATACAATGGTTCTTTCCGGTGCTGCTTTTTTGACTTGCCATAAAAGCTATAAAGCTGTATTCTCTTTCTAGTTTTTAAAGCAGACGCTCGATCTTCAAGTATGGGCCTGATGAGTTTTGTGTGTTTTGGCAGAAGCAGATTTGGGTAATCTAAACAAAGATATGTCTAGACTGGCTTTTCTTTTACTGTCATGAACGCCAAGGATTTGTATCTAAAGGATGCATCCAGCAGCTCACCTTTGTAACTCTCATGTGCTGGTTCACGTTATGCTAATTAGAGCGTGTGGAGTCCTGAGCTGTGTTTTTGGCGACACCTAGTGGTGGACACGCACTCTTCGCATTGTAATTTACTGGACTGTGGGAAAACTAAGACTTTTAATTTTGGCTTTTACAATTTCTTCCTTCTCCTGCGTTTTCATGGCTTCGTGTTCCTTTGTCGTTCTTAATCAATATTGAGATTTTTGAATAGTTTTGTTTAAGGAAAAAAGCAGTAATAATGTAGCCTTTGTGTGCGCTGGTAAGAATGATCTTCTCGACATATGAACTCATGTTGGGTAAAACTATACACAGCGACAGCAACCTCTATTCAATTCATTTTTTTGTTTCTTTTAATAGCCCTCAATCATAATGGAAATCGTCCCGGAGGAGTTTACAAAGTTGTGGATACACCAACAACAGATCAGTAAATCAAACCGTTGACCATTGTCCAGAAATGTTAATAAATGTCCATAAACTCAAAAGTCGTACCATTATTATAGTTGTCCGTTTCTGTGACTGCGAAACAATTCCTATCTCTATTTATTACCAAACAGCACTTGTTTACATTTCCGCAGAGTGGAAATAGTGATGTGTAAACACAGATATAAAAAAACTTGCCGTATTTCCACCACTGTCCTCAATTTTGAAGGTCCATGGTTATTTCTTCTTAACAACTCGGAGCTCAAAATGTCTCCCATTCCTCCAGTAGAAAGTCCGAGATGAGGGGCCGTTCGTGGCTCATGTCCCACTCTGCAATTTGCATTTACCATAATTCACAGCCTCAGTCCTCGTTCTACAGCCTGAGTCCTGGATCTATAGCCCGCCAAAGTGGGTTCTCCAAGGTTTCTCCCCTTTACCCCACTGGGTTTTGAACTCAAGGGTCCATAGACGGTGATGATTCCAGACATTTACTAACATTTATAGACCAATGGCTCCTATTTATTAATACGTTTTTTGTGTTTGAACTGTTTTGATTTTCTGATCTGATGTTGGTGTATGGACAGCTTTGTAAAGTCCTCTGAGACAACTGCTGTTTTGATTTTCAGGGCAATTCAAAAACGCATTGAATTGAATTACCAGAGCACACAAAGTCCCCATAAGGAATGATTTTAACCATATAGGATCACAATGTCTTCTTTAACCAATGCTTTTAATACATGAATTCTGTCATTTTGGATTTATAACCTCCATCCATCCATCCATCCATTTTCTACCCTTTAATCCATTTCTGGGTCAGGGGGGTGGCAATCAGAGATGCCACCCAAGTCTCATAGCACCAGCCCCTCACTGACCCTCTGCAGGTGGTGAGTCCACTGGAGGACGGCTGCTCTCTGAGTGTGAGCATAGCCTTGATCTTTCAGGGGGGGCTTTGGGCAAAGTGGGGTTAAGTGTCTTGCCCAAGGACACAACGACAGCAGTCATCAGTGGGAGTCGGTGGAGAAGGTGCAGAGGTGGGAATTGAACCCACGACCTTCTGGCCTTAAGGCCAATGCTCTACCAACTGAGCTACTGTCGCCCCAGGATTTATAACCTGTCGTTATGCATTGGAAAAACCTGCCTTTCTCTCACCGCCTCCTCCACTCGAATCTTAAAAATGCTATTACACATTACCGCCATAAAAAGACTCCCATTTATAGCCGCGTATATGGAAGCGGATGCCTCGAGTCGGATCAATACGCATTTACCAACCATTAATATTGTCCGTGTGTATGCCAGAGCCTCTTTTTTTTCTAAGCAATCTGTTTTTCTGTTTTCTCCCTTTGTGCTTTTAGACGCAGCGTAATCGAGGCTATATACAACAAGCTGAACCCGCACAGAGAAGAAGAAGGGGTGAGTCTCGATTACAGCCTCTCCCAAGGCCGACCGTGACCCAAGGGTGCCTCCTATAGGGACCCCATAACCGCCTCTATATTGTGTCAAAGAGGGATGTAAAGCGGAGCCGGATTGCTTGAGTGAGCGGCGATGTAAAGAGTCTCACCACAATGAAAAACATTCCTGGTTTAAAAGGAACGGACGCAGATATGCGGAGAATTGCTTTAGAAATAGTTTATTGAGAGATGTAGGTTTATTCTAGCCAGTAATGGTGTAAGGTTCGGGTGATAGGGGCCAACATGGCGTCTCTGGCTGAGTGAATGTGTAAGTACGTTTGTCAAGCTTAGGCGGAGAAAAATAGATTCTGTGATACATATTGTAAAAGCAGGCAGTGGGTGGCAGGAAGAAATTGAGATGATCTGGTCCAAACTAATGAAAAGAGAGAATCCAATCCAATACTACACAAAAGAAACACATACTGTACATACAAAAAAAGGCCAGAGAGTAAAAATGCGTCTTAAGAAAAGACGTAGAATATTGGAAAAATGTGTTGACTTGAGAAATTGTAATTTATCCAAACACAAAGACTTTTTCTGGTTCTCAACGTCTGAACAGAATTCAACACTTTTAACACACACAAGAAACGGCACAACTTGTATTTTTGCACGTTTCACCGACAGCCCACAGCAAAGTAACGCACAACTGTGAAAGCAAAAATTATGCGTGGTTTTGTTTGTGGAACCCCCTTTTTATGCAATCACAGCAGCAAGACTTTTGGGGTTTGACTCTACAAGACTCTACATTGTTTTGCCCATTCATCTTTACAAAACAATAAAATCTTTGTTTGTGGTTGTAAACATATGCAAAAGTTCAAGTCGCATTGGTGCTTTTGCAACTCGCTGTATATTATTTGTTTAGCTCTGCTTTGTTGCCGCTTCACGTTCTTGCTCTATTTCTCATCCTATAACGTTTTCAAGCACATTTACACAAAGGTCCAATCAGAGAGCCGCACATGTCTGTTACTACTACCTTGTCCTGTTTTATAGATATATACCAGTAGAAGGAACAGTTTACATAGAGACAGTGCAATTTTAAAAGGGACCATTGCATCCAAAAGCAGGTCCAGATTGTAATCCGCAGCACAATTTTGTTGGATTGTTATATTGTGAGATCTAGTCCCATCCCTATTGGTAAATGTTAAAACTATCTAAACCGGATAGGGCAGGAGATGCATTTAAGAGCACAGGGAAAAGCCATGTTTATATCATTGCGATGACGTACACAGTCCCTCTTCTGGTGATTCTTTTGTTTGTTTTGGCTTTGTTGTGTGCGGCAAAAGTAGGAAACCTGGGGTGTGTTTTAATTGCGCTTCTGAAATGAACTGTCCAGTGCTGATGCTGAAAATCAAATGCTCAAAGTAAACAAGATTTGACGTGATTATCACATTTTCCAGATTATGTACACTTACTGCTCCAAAATTTGAGTGCAAGAGTAAAGTTATAAGACTCCTTTGAAAGCGCCACAAGGCTCTTGATCAATCGGACAAAGCACCTGGTGCATGTAGACCGGGACCAGAGTAGTCAGACCGGTTTGTGAGCAACACCAAAAAGTTTGAGTTTTATAGCACTCCCATATTCTTCTCCTTTGTAAACGTACTCATTGTTGATTTTTCTAGAGGTACAAACTGTTAGCTAGCGATGCACACGGTGGTGAGTCTGACGGCTGGTGTCGTCCCAGGCCTGTGCGGGGGGAGAGGAGGAGGCGGTGGAGAGTGAGGAGGGAGGCGGCTGTACGGCGGCCCACCTGCTCCAGGCCCTGCGCCACTTCCGCATCAACCACCGGGGGCAGTATCGCAGCGTGCTGGAGGACACGCTGGCCTCGTACCGCCTGCACGATGCGGAGGGAGAAGATGCGGAGGGTGGTCACCAGGACGAGAACCGGCCCGCCTCCCCTCCCTCCCCCCCCCTCTCCCCCACCTTCACCCGCCACTATGGAGCTGGAGGCCGGCTCAGAGGAGACCACGCCCGCCACAGACAGACCACGCCCCCACATGCCTTAACACGAAGCCCATTCCCGAACGACAGAGCTTGAGTAAACATATCGGCCACTGGTTCAGAACAATTGATCAGTAATCAATCATACTACTAGGAACGATATACAGTATAGAAACTACGATCAATACTTAAGTTTGTGTAAGCCCTCAGTCGTACAGGGATTAGTCAAAGCAAAGGATGGGTGAGAAACCTTCCTTTGCTACGATCAATACTGAAATAATCATCTCTATCTGGATTTGTTAATATGAAATGTTAATTTTCACTTGAACATTTTTGGGGTACTTGAACAATACCAATTTTTAAATCCTCAGCAGTAGTATCCGTAATGTAAATATATATTTTTCTTCACAAATTGCATTGATCACCATTTGTTTGAAGCACAAAAAGTTTCATATTTAAGATGGGTTAAGTATCTTTTGAAACTGCAATGACTTTTACCATGTTATGTTTTTGGCTTCAGTCACTCAACCAACCAGCTCTCAGCCCAAAGAGTCATATATTGACTCACAAGGCTCTTCATTACAATTATGCAAAGGATAACATGTTGCAGACAGCCTGTTGTTGGCTGAGACTTTTGGTTGGGACAAAGAATTACTATGTCTTATTTATGGAAAGACAGTTTGGCTTCTCAGTTTCAAGTACATAAAAAATATCAGATGGTGATCATATTAGCATTGTATAAGTGGGAACTAACAACAGACTGTTTCAAATGAACAACCAGGAGGAGCCATTTTGGATATTCACGCTCTGTCGTTCTTTCGTTTTATTTTCTTCAAACCACTTTTCCATCTTGAACTCATAGAAAGAAATAGAAAATAATGCATTTAATTTGGTTCATTTGTAAAAGTGGTTGAATCCTGGCTAAACCTTTTTAGCTTTAGCATCATTAGCTTCTGGCTGGTATCGTTTTTTTCTGTTCCCGCCTAACGCAGTTTTGCTGAGACCCTTCTCCAAATCCCTAAACTTAACTAATAGAATACCTGCTCCTAAACAACTAACAATACACCTAATCTTGACCTGATTTTGGAGACATCAATTGTCAAAATTGACGTTTGTTAGCGTAGCATTCAGGCTTAACTGGGTTGGGAGAGAAGGTCACAAATTTCCCGCTCAAATTCCCCTCCGTTCTTTTGACTTTTGATCTGCCTAACTGTGGACTCTGAAGTGACTGTAAAGTTAATTATAGATAGCTATTTTGAAATGCTTTCTCCTAATTTGTGTTTTTGCTACTGGTGCTTTGGGAATGTACTTTTTGAAATGAATAGGTTCATTCATGTTTGCACTAGCCACGCTGGTTTCACTTTTGGGTCATTGTGGCTCATTCGTTTGGGAACACCACTGGGAAGACGGCAAGATGGAAAATGCTAAAACATGCAAATTAGACGTAGGCTTATTTTTACTAACTGCAAGGTCATGTTTTTGTGCTTCATTTAGGGCGTTTACACATTACCTCACAACATTATATAGATTAATTGAGCATCAGAAACTGGTTGATATTGTTTATTTCTATGTTATGAGGAGAGAAGGTGAACATAGAACAATTTACTTATATATACTGTCACAAATATTCATGATTCTTTTGTTGTTGATTTTGCTTATGTTTAAGTTTGTGACATTATTGCATTATAGTTAATAAAATTTGAGCTTTTACCATAAGAATGTTGATTGCGATACTTTAAGACTGGGCGATTCCAAATACAATATTCCAATATTCTCCCACATTCTGGAGATTCTAAAACTTGAATGATAGGACAGGATTCTACCAGGTCTTAGAATGTCTTAAAAAGCATTTAATTTATGAATTTGAAAACAATATCTTTTAAAAGACATGGGAAAGGTTTGTGAGATTGTGCAACATGTCACTTTTTGTATCACATTCTCCTCAAAAATGTCATTTGTCAACCACTTTCATTTGGATTTCAATGTTAGCGGCACAACTCTGCCCCAGTTTTGAACAAAAGAGTAAATGAAAAAAAGATATAAAAATGTTTGCCCATAGGTCTCGGAATGATGTGTTTTTTATAATGGTTTTCAATTTTGTCACACTTTGAAAAAAACGTAGAAAACTACATTTATTTTAACAAATTATTAAATTTAGGTCCGGCTTCAAGAAAATTCAATATAAAGCCAAAGTCGGTGAAGTAGAGCTGCTGATCACACAGAAACAGTATTAGCATTCAGAAAACCACACACGGCGCCCCCTGGAGGAAACTATGACGACAGCAGTGGTTCAAAAATAACGTCCGCCATAACTCTGACCTTGTGGCGCCGGACCATTGATTGGGAATCCCAGGCCTGATGCATTATCTATATTCTGGGACTACCCAGCAAACGACTGTGACAGTGGTGCAATTTTGTTTAACTGACATGTAGTACGATGGGACCAACCGTATTCCACACTGCAAATGTATAAGGAGCCAATGTAAGAAAAACATACTTTCGTTTACTACTTCCATAGGCACTAATGAAAGAGGCTTTATCCAGCGCATTGTATTGAAATTTCTTTTCTGTTAAGAAAATAATGCTTGCCTTATGATGTGGGTAGCAGCTTAATATCATCCAGATCATATGCACGTTAAAGGTGGATCAAATTATGTATCCATGTGCTGATCAGATCTGTCATTTTTTTGGGTAGTTACATCAAACACATACGTAAAAGAACATAAACAACAAATAAGAAATAGGAGACGGAAGTGCCGCAATCTGCCAATATACTAAATTTAAAAGCCAATTTTGTCTACATCGGCTGTCCACCTCCCCATTGATTTGAGCAAATGAGCTGATTACAGAAACAAATGCAAAATGTTCGTCAATGTATCACTCCCTCATTTCTTATAGATTGTTTGATATATGAGCCACACACACCCTGTATTGTTTATGCGACCAAATGACTTTCATAGCGATATCAGTTATATGATTGGTTATGCTCTTTAAGGGCTCATCTGAAATACTGCTATTTGTTGCATTTCAAACCAACACATTAACTGAATTAATTAACAATAAGTGAGAAATATGTATGTTTCCTGGTTAAATAAAAGCTTAAATAAAAAAAGAAATATATATGTGTTCTGTCAGTCTGTTCCCTATACGTAAGCTAGAGTTTTCATTCCACACAGAAGTATCTTAGATGGTAAAGCCTGAGGCTATTTATGTCTGCCCTCTGAAAAACCTTAATAAAAATACCAGACTTCAGCCAGTGTTCTCATGTTCTTTCCCAGGAGTACTTGTTAGTCCTCCCCAAACACAGCTCCTGTCACATTAAATTATCCTAGCTTTCCTTCTTTTGTGATTAAGATCAGGGCCATTTATATTCATGTTCAGATGTTCACAGTCCTGCATCAACAAAAACAAAATATATAAGAAAGATAAGATAGAGAATTCCTTTATTCGTCCCCACAGTGGGGAAATTTCGATGTTGCAGGCATATAGGACAGTTGTAAGAGCACACAGGGAGCACACACAATATATAAAATAAGTATAAGCTATGTTTTTCTTAGCTATCATAACTAGCTGTAAGATGCTGAAATGCTTCAACACCACTCAAAATATATATAATTAGTTAGTAGTACTGTAGTACTGTACAGTGTAAATAGTGCAGGATAATAAGTAGATACAGTATAGTGACAAAGTGACTTTTCATCGATTGATGAAAAGTTGTTATAATAAATCCTGGCAGAGTTTGAGCCAATATTGTAGTCTTCCCCAACAAACAACTTTCCATATATCTAACTGGACACTGCGGTCATAGCTATATGGTAAAACACAAGGTAACAAGGCAACGTATAGACCTAGTTTAAACGGTCGTTCACTATTAGATCACTGGGGGGAAGAAAAACATAATAGCGTAAGAACTCTATGTTCTTACGCTCTTATGAAAGTGAGAGATAGGTTGGTCCAGACGTTACTCATCCATAGCAAATCTCCCGATCAGGTCTTGTTTGTATTAAAGGCCATATACTGCTACATCAGTGACCAACATTGTTTTTGATTACAACAGTAATCCAAAAAATGCTATGGCGCGTTTGATATTAAAAAAATGGATATCAGTTTTAACCTTCAAAGGAGAATCCACTTGGAACGTCAGAAGAAGGCAGTGAAAAAGAAAAGAGGAGAAACAGAAACATGTTAGAAAAATAAGACATAGCAATGTTGACATATTCTTCATAAGCAAACATATGGATATAAACAGTTTAACACCAGGCAGTATACAAACTTGGAGACAGTAACTTTAAAAATGTAATGAAAATATAACCCCTGGACCTTAAAACTATAGCCCTTGTGTCAGCACCAACGACTCATTACCTGTGGAGGAAGCAGTCTTCTCTGATGATGAATGTAATTATAGTGTGCAGAGCTCCATGTTGTTTGAATGTATTTGTTTTATCAGAGTTGTTTACACGTTTGTGTTTAAGGCTGCCATTCCCACATCATTCTATAGATATCATTCAAATGAGTTACACAATTAATCTGATCAATAGAAAAAATAAAACAGAACATATAAAGAAGAAATCAGATCCAGATCTGCTAGAAACAAGCACGTGAGTTTTTAATATTGATGGAGTTTTTCTTATCGAGACATTTATAAGCCCCCCCCCGGATCCTTTGTGCACTAAAGGCCTGTAGACTGTTTACACCTTCTGGTCTAGGCAACAAATCCTGAAAATGTACAGCCATCAACATACATGCGCTATGAATGCCGCTATTGTTTCCGTTCAACGTTGTGCACTATGGGCTAGACAGGAAAAAAGGAGTAGGAATGAGGCGTCAAAAAGCTTTGCTACCGACGATTAGGCCGACATAACGTAACGTGCAATCGCTGGTGTAATTTGAGGTCACACTTGGAAATAATAACGAAAAAAATATTGCATCGGTTTATTTTAGTGCTTTTTGGACGCTCAATGACACTTCACATGCCTTATTAATTCTCTCCATATCAAAGGAGAGACACCTACTAAACTAGCTCTCAGTTGCCCCTTGAAAGACTCACAGAAGCGAGGCAACAAGTACATGATATCAGCCCCTCAGATTCCCGCCTGT